AGGTATTAAATAAAATAATTTATGTAAATCACTTAGCATAGTACTTGTCTTATTAATAAGCACTCAATAAACAACAGTCCTCTAGACCACATCTCCAAAGCAGTGAATACAAAACAATCCACTAAAGTACCAAAGAACATATTAGATATTTAATTTGTATATTACTTTATTTTAAAAAAAATATATTTATACATACATAAATACATATATAAAATTTCAAATCAATGTAAACATGTAATTATGTCATTTTCACTGAATTTTGGAGGGTATTTTAATTTTTTCCCTTTTGCTTGCCTCATCCCTCTTTCTCTCCTTCCCCCATATCATCTCCCTTTCTCCACAATACACAAATATATTCTAGGTATTCTGTGTTAGAATACTAGTATACATCTGCATTATATTAATTTATTAAATCTCTTTTTTGTTCTCAAGAATGTTTAAAGGATATGGGTATAGTAGAATCAAGTGTACCTGCTTGGATTTTTTTTTTTTTTTTTTACTTTGTGAAGTAGAGTCTTCTGCCTACTCTTGTCTGTTCTATGAGGTTGTGAGGACACTTTTAAATGCCTCATCTGTACTTAATAAAAGGCAGCTAGACAGTATATTAACCTCAACCATTTAACCTACATGGTTAGAAATGTGTCTGATCATGCTCTGCCTAAAGAATCATGATTCTAGCACATCACTGAGATTATTACATTGCAGCTTCCTTAGGTATACTTATAGGGTGGCTGTAATGCTCAATGTGCTCTTTCTACTCAGCTCTATTATGTGCCTGGCAGTTGTGTATGGTGGAGGGAGTGATGCTAAGGAGAGTGGCACCTCACTACATTTTTCCTCTCTCTAACCTTCAAATGTCCTAATGGCTTCTGCCAAGTCAAAAGGCAAGGCCTCACAATTAGAGGCAGAGTCCAATGTTAATGTTAAACCTATTGACAAAGAATACTTATAGTTTTTTCTCTTTTAAATATTCTATCTTGACAACTTTTCAATGTCTATATATGTTTCATGGTTTCTTTCTTAATGATTTTTAGATTAATTTTTTATTTTGAGATAATTATAGATTCACATGCAATGGTAAAAAATAATGCAGAGAGATCCAGTGTACACTTTACCCAGTTTCCTACAACAACAACAACAAAAAACAACTGTAGTAAAATATCAAGAATAAAATATTGGCATTGATACAGTCCAGATACAGAAAATTTCCATCACTACAGTGATACCTACTGTTTCCCTTTTATTGCCACACCCACTTTCCTCCTACTCTTCTTCCCATGTTTAACTCCTGGCAATCATTGGTCTATGTCATTTCAAAAATGTTATATAAATGGAAGCATATCCTAGGTAGCCTTTTGATATTGGCTTTTTACATTCAATATAATCCCTTCAAGACTCATTCAAGTTGGAACATGTATCAATAGTGTGTTCCTTTTTTATTGTTGAGTACTGTCCATGGTATGGATGTAGCACAGTTTAACTATTCATCTGTTGAAGGACATCTAGATTGTTTCCAGATTTTGGCCATTGCAAATTAAGCTGTAATAAATAACCATGTACAGGATTTTGTATGAACATATGTTTTAATTTCTCTAAGACAAATGCCCAGGAGTGCAATTGCTTGGTTGTATGGTAAGTATATTTTCACATTTTAATTTATTTTTAAAGAGGGAGGGGGGAAGGGTGAAGCAGAGGGAGAGGGAGTGAGAGAATCTTAAGCAGGCTCTGTGCTCAGCACAGAGCCCAACATGGGGCTCAATCTTACAACCCTGAGATCATGAGCAGAGACAAAATCAAGAGTTAGACACTTAACCAAATGAGTCACCCAGGTGTCCCCAGGTTTTTGTTTGTTTGTTTGTTTGTTTTAGTTATAAGAGTGAGGACCTGGAAGGAATAGGGGTGTTCTATCTTTTCCAAAACTGGAAGTCTCCCTTCCTGTATCTCTGTAATATTTTGGACAGTTATAACACCCATCCTCCATTACTGCAGACTAAGGGCACTGCATTATGACTTGGGGGATGATACTAGGTGTGTTAAGAGGTTGCCTCCCTATTTGTGGTACCATACCCCCCAGAGCATAACAAAACCCTCTCCTTGTTCTTGTGAATCCTGGGTAATGGGTATTATCTTCTTTCATGAAATATGGGAAGAAGATACAGCACATTTCTTTTTTTTTTTTTTCTAAACCAGTTTGTATATGAGTCTAAATTGCTGAAAGTCTAATATCAGTAATTTCAAGGGTTATCCTTTTAATGGGATATTACAAAATTTTGATGCTTACTTGGTCCCAGGGGGGGAAAAATGGATGTAGTTCTTAGTTCTTTCTGTTTGCTGTGGATACTCCCACTGTTTATTCTATTACAGAATGACATCAGGATGACCTAAATTGGTCCTTGCTAGTCTGGCTACTGTGTCAGAAGAGCTACAGAGTTGCCCCTTTCAGTAAGCCTTGCCAGTGATCACAGGTTGAATCCCAGAATCTCTCGCAGCTGCTCTTAGGGTCTTTACCCATGGAGTCCAACTTCCATAGATGTCCACAGCCATATTTTACCATTTTAGGTGGTGTAAAGATCTTTTTAAAAATTTCTATCAGTAGCAGAACCTTTCATTCAATCCCTGACATATCTCTTGAGAAGTGATTAAAAACATGGAATATGGATTTGGACTACTTGGGTTAAAATCCTGCATCCATCACTTACTAATTCATTGACTTACTAAATCATAACCCCTGCAAGCCTCCTTTTCCTCATCTACAAAATCTACCACTATTATAATAGTGGATTAAACAAGATGATATTTTTAAATTGCTTCAACAATGCTTGTTAGTGTAATAACATATCCTAGGTACAACAGGTTGATAGTAAAATATAATAAGTTCTATATACTTAATAGGTAAAATTTTTCTGTGTAGGCCACCCTCTGCTTTGGCCTCAAACTGATCATAGCCACTTTAATTGCTAAGGCTTTCACAATAATCGCCCAGGGGATAGGGGTCCATTTTCAGGGTAGCCCTGAAATACACTGAAGATGTTAATCTCCTACCTGCAACACACCCTGTCCTGATCTGGATGAAAACAGTCTAGACCACTGTTTCTCAAAGAGTGGTTCACAGACCATCTGCATCAAATCTTTTAGGATAGAGTCAAGGCATGTGCATATTTATTAAGCTGCCCCCGTGATTTGAATGTACACTAAAGTTTGTGAACCTCTTCTCTACATTCTCCATGCCTTGTCATATATGGTTGCTTCTTTCTGAAATGTCCATTCCCCTATGCCTACCTGTGGAAACAAAATGTAGCCTCCTTCATGAAGCCCTCTCTAATTCCCTGTTCACTACCTATAGCGGTTGCAATCTCTTTGGTTGCTATGGGCTGAATGAGATGGGGAGGAATCAGAACTGGGATGCTGGAGGGTGCTGGGGAGCACTGGAATGTAACACCTGGACTGGAGTGGTGGGAAAGGCCCATGGTTTGTACTTGGAAGTTGGGCAATAATATTGAAGTGATATTGCAAACACAGTCAAGGGAAGGAGGGAGAAAATTCAGTAAAAAGAACAGGGGGAGTGGGGAGGAAGCAGCAACGAAGTAGGTCCCAAGGGTTTCCCTGATCTGTCAGAAAAGTAAATGCATCTTCCTACGCACTCACCCACCACCCATCATATATGTTTTTTGTCAGGAGAGGGGGTGTGTGTACAAAGTTGGTATCAACCAGTAGCCTCACAGTGCCAGGTATCACTGTGTAACTGTTTGCCTTGGTAAGAACCTGCCACCAGGCTGCTCTGAATGTTCTGAAGCCACAGACCAGGGTATGAAACTTCCAACTCCTGAGACTAAGCCAGTGCTCTGAACCTTTACACTCTCTCATCAATGTGTCTCTGTGGCTGCCTCCTTCCAAAATTTCTTTATCTCCATCTCTGTGATAATCTTGCCCGTCCCTCAGGACCCTTCTTCAGGTCCCAGTGGACTATGCCCAGGCACCTGAGCCTGAGGGACTGAGAGCGGGAACAGAACCAAGGAGTGGGGAAGAAGGTGCACTACCCCTTGACTCTTCTTTTCCACCTCCTTGGGCTCTAGGGTACAATGGAAGCCAAAACCTCCAAGGAACGTCTCCCTTGTCTGCATGGCCTGCCATGTTCCCAACGCTATGCCTAAGGGGTCCCCGCCATCACGCCTGCCAGAAAGTGGGGCCCCCAGAGACCTGCATTTGGAATGCACCCCTCAAGGCACTGCAGTGCAGGAGCTCAAAGACTTCAATTTTTTGGTAAATATATACAGTGACAACTGTTTAAGATAACTGCAGAGAGGCTGAAAGAAGAGCGGCTGCAGGACGAACCTAAGAGGAGGGTCCCCCTGTAGCTGCCAAACACTCCCATTCCCCCACTAAATTCAATGTCTTATCTCAGTCAAGTATCTCCCAGGATTGCAGCAAGTGCACATTTGTTTCTTCGTGCGGACAACTGTCCTGGTTCTTTCTAGCCTCGTGGTAGACTATATTTTAGATTTCATATTCTAAGTAGGGATTTTAAGAAGGCTGGTTGGCCGCTGTACTGAGAGCGGCGAAATATCCTGTGTCACTTAGTGGAAGTCCAGGACAGGAGCACATGGCCAACTTGGGGATCCTGGAGCGCAGGCCCTCAGTTTATCCCGGCCCCAGTGGTCCATCCCACCTCCCCAGCTTGGCGAGCGCTCCCTCCCACCGCGCTTGCTTGCTTCTTGCCCACGCCTTCCGCTGCCTCCGCCCCCCCACCCTGGGGCCCCCAGCTTAGTCCTAGCCCTGAGCTCACTTAGCCTCGGCCCTGCCTCTGCCCCCGCACTACGACTACGACCCCGTTCCACTTCCCTTCGCCTGCTGCCCTCGCCTTCTTCTCCGCCGCCGCGTCCGTTCTCGGTAGGCTCCACGCCCGCCTCCTGGCTCCTGAGAGCCCGCGGTTCCCGCTGCCGTCAGGGCCAACACGGGTGCCACGCGCCGCCGCCGCCGCGGCCACTCGCCCGCCGCCCACCATGGCCCCGCAGCAAACAGGTAGCATCCACGCCATCGAGCTGAATCCCTCCAAGACCCTTCTGGCCACTGGGGGTGAGAACCCCAACAGCCTGGCCGTCTACCAGCTGCCCACCCTGGACCCCGTGTGCCTGGGCGACCGCCATGGCCACAAGGACTGGATCTTCACCATCGCCTGGATGAGTGACACAGTGGCTGTGAGCGGCTCCCGCGACGGCACAGTGGCGCTGTGGCGGATGGATCCCGACATGTTCAGCGGCAGCATCGCCTGGCACAATGATGCGGGTCTTCCTGTGTACGCCCACATCCGTCCGAGGGACATGGAGACCATCCCCAGGTCCAGCACCAGCCCCAGTAACCGCAAGGTGCGGGCTCTGGCCTTCAGCGGCAAGAACCAGGAGCTGGGAGCGGTGTCCCTGGACGGCTACTTCCACCTGTGGAAAGCCCGAAGCACTCTGTCCAGGCTGCTCTCCATCAGGCTGCCCTACTGCCGAGAGAACGTGTGCCTGACCTACTGTGATGAGTTGTCCCTGTACGCGGTGGGCTCCCAGTCCCATGTCTCCTTCTTAGATCCGCGCCAACGTCAGCAGAATATCCGGCCCCTGTGCTCCCGAGAGGGCGGCACAGGTGTGCGCTCGCTGAGTTTCTACCAGCATATCATCACCGTGGGCACGGGCCATGGCTCCCTGCTCTTCTATGACATCCGCGCCCAGAAGTTCCTGGAGGAGAGGGCCTCAGCCAGCCCGGACTCCTCTCCCGGGCCCTCAGGAAGGAAGCTCAAGCTCACCTGTGGCAGGGGCTGGCTCAACCACGATGACCTGTGGGTGAACTACTTCGGTGGGATCGGCGAGTTCCCCAACGCTCTCTACACCCACTGCTACAACTGGCCTGAGATGAAGCTCTTCGTGGCTGGGGGACCTCTCCCTTCAGGCCTCCATGGGAACTACGCAGGCCTCTGGAGCTAAGGATGGCTCCTGTGTTCTCAAAGTGCCCAGATTTACCTTCCAGTCCCCTCTCATTTTCCTTCCTCACGCCGTGTTTGTGCTTTTTAACTCAGTGTGACGCTTGTCTTCCAGGTGGAAAGTGCCCAACTTACCTGTCCGTAGTGTATGTGAGAGAGAGAGAGAGAGAGAGAGAGAGAGAGAGAAAGAAGAGAGAGGTATCCTTCAGGCAATCAAAACTTGGCTTTAATAATTTTTTACACCTCTCCAAGCCACCTTTTTTTTTTTTTTTTTTTTTTTTTTAAGAGAGAGAGAGAGCACAAGCAGGGGGAGCAGCAGACAGAGGGAGAAGCAGGCTCCCCGCTGAGCAAGGAGCCCTGATGCTGGACTGGATCCCACGACCCTGGGATCATGACCTGAGCAGAGGGCAGCTGCTTAACCAACTGAGCCACCCAGGTGTCCCTCCAAACCATCTTTTGAATTCATATTACAAAGAGTTTTAGCTAACTCTTACTTGTCTTCTTTGAGTTATATATTCTCTTTTTAATTCTATGCAGTCATGGTTTTAGAATTTTGTATATTTTCTTTATCCTGTTTTTTTTTTCGTTAGCAGTATTGCAATAATATTGTCTTTAGTTATTTTCATTGCAGGTAGATGGCATAATAAAATCATGCTTAAAAACAGGGTTTGTACCTCTGTTCTGCAAAGTTAGTTATAGTTTTATAGACCATTGTTCCAACTGGAAAATACATTCCAAGTTCTAGATTATCAAATTTAGAAACATTCCATTTGTAAATTGTAATCTTAGATATTTATAGTTTCTAAGTTGTTGGTGCTAAACATACTTTTTTAAAAAGTATTTCTCTTTGAAAAAAAAGTTGTCATGGAATCTTGTTTTGTACCAAAATTCCAATTTGTCAGAACACTTTAGGAATGCAAGGGTTCTGTTGGTTGAATGTTCAGAATTAATCTGAAAACCTAATTGATCTTTTTCTTCTTCAATCCTTATTTAAGTTTTAATGACCTGCTGTTAAATAAATAAATGAATGTGTATTTTTTCACTTCTTGCCTTAGTACTATCAAAATTTGTGAACATATTTGAATGTTTGTGGTTTATGGAACTTGCACAGAATTTCAGTGCCATAATTCAAAGCAGGGATTCTAAGTATAAAAATGCAGAATGTATAGCAGGCAGGGTAGAATGTATAGTGATCCAGGATATAGACTGGATATTTTGCTGTTGCTGTTTTTAATACCAAATATTATATTTCAGCATACTTTAAATTTTCTAATTCTGCTTAACAGTTAAGTCACAAGAAAAAAACTGAAAAGGACAAAAATGATCCCAGTCCCTACTCCTGAAAATGATGCTTAATTTGTAAAATCTAAACTAGTAAGATTTTATTTTGTGAATTTCAAAGATTCTTACCTAAAGTAGAATAAATATGTTGTTAAAAAGTACTGATGTTATAGCCCTCAGTGTAATAATATACAATTATCAGGGACACTGGAATTTTGTTTCAAGAAGATGGTCTGGAGATTAAAATAAATGGGATTAGGTTGAAAAAGAGCATTTTGGGGCTCAGATAAATACAAATCATGGATTGTTAAGAAAACAGATTGTATTTCTCCATATATGAAAATATTGGAAATGAGAAAGAAGATTGACCCTTCCTCAAAAATGGCCAGATTATGCTGACCTTGGATTAGTATTGTGGCATGTATGTTTTTCCTTAAATATTTTGGCACTCAGGTGCTGCTTTAGTGTCCATTCACTACATGCTGTTCAGTTGCAAATCTGAACCAACAGTACTAAAAATGAACTAAGAAATACAGAAAAAATAAGCTTTTGTTTACAGAGATTGTTTTAGCAGGTTTATATAGTTGTTATTACATAGTAGTAAATTGTATTTGTGTGCATGTATGTGTCTCCAACTCAGTCATAACTGGAGAGTAGAGAATATAATTGTCATCTTTGTATTCTCTCATTTCTCCGCTAATGCCTAGCAAATCATAGGCAATAAGTAAATATTTACTGAATGAATGTATTTGCCTCTGGAAACTTAAAGTTCAAAGCTATGAAAATAAATGCATAAACATATAAATAAAAGTTTACTTTTAAATAGTATGGGATCCTGTTTTGTTTTCCCCGCTTTGTTCTTTGCCCTAATCCATTTCCCAGTCAGGCTCTGGGGCTTATCCATTTTTCACCTGCAAATACTTAGATTTGAAGATTTCTTTAAAATATTTTATGTTTTTTTCAGAAATTAGTTTTGAAAGACCTTTTTTTTTTTTTGTAGGAGTTTGTCTTCTTACCTAAAAATCGTTATTTGCTAAAAACCTCTTTAAATATTACTTAAGAACTTCACCGAAGTATTCACTGCCTGTCTTGTTGTGGGATATAGGGTATTTTTATAGTATTTGATCATTATTTGGGGACATTGGAAGAACATCTTCAGAGGAAATGACAGTTTTACATGAAGTGGGGTTTTAAAGAAGAATTAGAAGGAATATCTCTGATTTGTTCTTAGGCTTGCCCCTTCATCACTGACTCACTCTTAACTTACTCATAAGTTAGGGTATATATATATATATATTTAAAGATTTTATTTATTTATTCATGAGAGACAGAGAGAGAGAGAGAGGCAGAGGGAGAAGCAGGCTCCCAAGGAGCAGAGAGCCCGATGCGGGACTCGATCCCAGGACCCTGGGATCATGACCTGAGCCGAAGGCAGACGCTTAACCATCTGAGCCACCCAGGCGCCCTAGGGTATATATTTTTGATGCTGAATCACATGGCTTGTTTTTTAAAAACACTAAATAGCCTTATTATGTATGCATTTATATTATGTAGAAGTTTAATTATTTTGAATTATTTCCTACTTCAGGGACAAAGTGATCTACAGAAGTATAATTAATTATGTAGCTTGTGAGTGAAATAATTGAAAAAGTAACACTCCTGGAAACCCATAAAGGTAGTTCACTTAAAAATACACAAGGGGATACATATTTTTATGTACAAGTTACCTATTATGGTTGCCTGAAACCTCTGCATTATAGATTCTTTTAACTATTTATTAAAAATGTTCCAGGGACGCCTGGATGGCTCAGTCAGTTAAGCGTCTGCCTTCAGCTCAGGTCATGATCCCAGGGTCCTGGGATGGAGTCCCGCATTGGGTTCCTTGCTCAGCATGGAACCTGCTTCTCCCTCTGCCTGCCACTCCCCCTGCTTGTGCGTGCTTTCTCTTGCTTTCTCTCTCTCTCTGATAAATAAATAAAATCTTAAAAAAAAATGTTAGTTCCATTTATCTAACTACATATTCACATATACCTCCCTAAAAATATTTGTGACATGAAAATTTATGTTCTTTCCCTTTACTCTTTGGATGAGTTAATTTCTATTTGTTTTTTTTTTTTTTTTTTTTTTTTTTGAGGAAGAGGAGTAAGAAATGACTAATCAAGGATATCCAGTGAAATAAATTGAGTACTCTGGAAAAAATTCATCTGTTAAATATACTCTAGCATTAATGATAAACAAAATTGGATTCTCCAGAGGTTGATTATTTTTCCAGCCGAACTCAGTGTTGAACAAGTTGTCAAAAATTTTCCATTAATTACTAATTTAGAGTGATTTTAGAAAGTAATTCACAAAGCTGTTTTACTGACAGCTTCCTAATCTCTGCAAGTCTTAGGTAAGCCGGCTACATTAAACATGTCATTATGTGAGCTGCTCAGGGATGCTGTTCGGTGAGAATGACATGTGCTAATGTGAAAGATAGGCTGCATAGGCCATCGGTGTTTGCTTTAAGAGATGTTATTTTAAGATCTACTGAAATTGCTGCCTAAAACGATTTCCTACTACTGGCCTGCTGCAAACCCAGAGACACCTACCATTGAAGTGTGGCATCAACAAAAGGGCAATGTGGTTACAGGAGGTTGTGATGAAACAGGCTAATCTTTAGGAAGAAGAGGTCTTTAACTGCTAGATATTGTTTTGCACAGGCAATGGTCTTTGCTTCATAGGCCCTTCCCTCACATTTTTTTTTTCCTTCTTAACTCTATAACATGCCAGGGTAGTATACATTTAACTTCCTCATGCGTCCAAAGTGAATGTTTTTGTTATTATCTTAATATAGCATTTATCACATTGTAATGCAGTTAACTATATGAGCATATTGCTACCCCCCCCCATTTGAATGTGAACTCTGTGGTCCCAACACCTAGCACGATAGGCTACACATACATGGCACTGGGAAATCCAGAGCAATGACTAATACAATAATTTCTTGGCATCAATTATTTTATCAGATTAGTTGACCAGAACATTTGCAAATGTAATAAGGATTAGGTTGATGGATGAAGAACATCTTGAAACAGGCCCCATGGTAGTGATCATGGCAATTCATAGCATGGAATAATCTGGTTGGGCAGCAGAAATTTTGATTACTTAAGAGTTTCATAGAGGGCTCTTGGTTCTGAGCCATCAAAATAAAATGGAATAAATATTTTAGAATCACAAAAACCTGAGTTTGAATCCTATTCTATTATTTTTTCACTGAATAACCATGGGTGTGTTGCTTAACTTCTCTAAACCTGACCTTATATTACTAATTGTTCAATCCCCAGAATCCAGCATGCTAATACATATAAGCATTCTACTAATATTAGTTCTTTTTCTCTGTAGATCCCCACTAATTCTGTTAAAGGATATGTGTACATTTTTATTTAATTATTACAGTTTTACAAGGAAATTTTTATGTGCATTGTGGGAAGTGGTACATATAAAAAAGCAAAATATAAGAAAACAAAAATCCCCTCATTTCCATCAACCAGAGATTACTACTATTTAATAACTCAGTGTATAACTTTCTAGATTTTTTCTTTTCTTTTTTTTTAAAGATATTTATTTATTTGAGAAAGAGAGTGTGCACAAAGGGAGAGTGAAAGGGAGAAGCAGACTCCCCGTTGAGCCTGACGTGGGACTCCATACCAGGACCCTGAGATCATGACCCAAGCCGAAGGC